ATACCTAACACTGATTCAAGTGAGTTGCTGTCCCCTTCTTGCCTCTCCTCGTCACACACAGACGTGATGACATTTTGTCTGATGTACATCACATCAAATTGCAGTAGCACAGCTTGGCCTTCAAAGCCCTCACATTGTCACCAACGTGTATCTTCCACTTCCATCAGATCAAGCACCCGCTTCATCATCCCCACCTTCCTGTCACCATGCCAGTCCTTTGCTCACCCGTTGCCACGTCCCTCTCATGGGCCACCCCCTCCCTCATTTGCCTCCAATCTCTAGGGCACAGCTCAAGTCCGACCTCCTCACAGAAGCCCTCTCCACCTCCTCACTCCTGTGAATTTATCAACTGTATTGCATGCAGAGTAAATATGATGTCCTTTAGCTCTTCGTTTATCCCATTAAATGAAAAACTGTATCAGTGTCCTCTGTATCCTGCATCCACCCTAGGACCTTACGTATACAAGTGTGCTGAGTGAGTGAATACGGGACCAACTGATTGGTTAGTCCAGGGCATGCCCAGAAAACGCTAATCCCGAGATCAGCAATGCAAGGGATTCTGAAAGTAAACAGAAGAAGTGAAAAATACCTTTGTGATATTGGAGAGCGAAAAGTTTTCTTATGTAAAACTGCACAGTGTACAAAGTGCAATGGTGAAAAAAAGTAGATTAAAACAAGGAATCAGCCTGACTACAAAATTTTTAGTTTCTACTCAATGAGAAGATAGTGGAGATAAATAGACAGATGACAGGAAAACTTAATATATTATATCCCGAACTCATAAAGATAATTACTGAGAATACACAAATCATTCAAGAAGAAATGCATTTCAATAATTACTACCATAATTGCATTTACAGTATATATTAACATTAATTTATATATAACATTAATAAACTAACAGGAATAGTGAATATAATAATATTTGTTGCATGTTTATAATTGCCTGGGCTTCTAAAGATTCTACATGTTTTAATTCACTTAATCTTCACAAACCTATGAGGTACTTAACTGTTTTTACTTATTGCATATGAGGAAACTAAGGGACCATGTTGGGGAACAGCTTTCATGGGTCACATAGATTGTAGTGCCAGGCTATGTATAACAGGCCGACTGGCTGGAACTCCAGCTCTGCTATCCAGACTCCTTTTGCTGTAGGTAAAGGACTCAAATAGGCAGGAACTGAAGGAGATGCTGCAAAGCAGATCAGGCATCAAAAATGACCCTCAGCTTCCTCATGATCAGAACACTGCCTATTAAAACAATGAGATCTTGCTTGACGACCATCTGTTGGCAAAAGTTAAAATTCCAGATAATACCATGGCACGGGCAGTACATAGTGAAAAGGAGCGTGTGTGTGTGTGTGTGTGTGTGTGTGTGTGTGTGTGTGTGTTTCCCTTGATCAGCAATCCTAGACTTACATTCCCAGGGAAGTGCTTATGATGGTTGTAAGGAATCCCATGAGGTCTCTGTCACAGCACTGCTGGTGACAGCAAAGTATCCATCCTTCTTAGTCACTTTTCTCCTTGCTGGGACAAAATACCCAACACCCGCAACTTTAGGAAGAGAGAATTATTCAGGCTCATTGATTTTAGAGGTCTCAGGTCATAGACAGATGGCTGTAGTGCAGAATGGCCTAGTGGAAGGATCTGCTGTGGAGGAAAGCAGCTCACCTCATGGTGGCCAGGAAGCAAAGAGAGAAGGGAAGACTCGGGGAGGGAGACACACCCTTCCAGGCCACACTCCTGTGACCACTTCTTCTATCCAGACCCTCACTTTCCCAGCAGCACAGTTGGTTACAGTGTCCAATCACCAGAAAAATAAAAAAAAAAAAACCCACCTATGAGACATGAGGCTTTGGATGAAGAGGATGTGGTGGCAGCCAGCTGTGGAGCAAAGAGCGCTGAAAGGAGCTCTGACATGGGCAGGCAGAAATGTACACCATGCACAGGGATTACAATTGCATTATTCACCCATTGCACTGAGTGTGTTCGCAGAGGCAGAGGCTCTAAGCACATGTGTCAAAGACATTACAGTGGGCCCCAAGGAGGGAAGGGAATAAGGAGGCAATACATATGCAAAACAGTAGCTATGTACAAAAACTGTACAACATGCCTGGCAAGGGTAGTGATAATAGTATGCTACGTACTTAAGAAATATGCCAGAAGAATGGGAAAACTAAGGTCAAAAAAATAAGCAAACAAACATATACCGTTAAATAGGGAAAAAGAAATTTTTAAACACCCCAAGCAACACCCCAAAATTTCAGGATAACACATATTTTGAAGACAACCCTGGTATTTAACTTTGAGACCTAATTTTAGTCTATAACCCATAAATCACAGAGAGTGATTTCAAGTAGTAAATTAAGATCTGGGTAACCTAAAAGGAACTGGTTCTTTTTCTTCAGTGGTCTGTGGGAAATGCCATATCCTCCTTCAGGGAAAATCTCTGTCCCTTGGATGTCAGCTGCCATGTAACACATTGGGTGCTGTGTGCTGGACTTGGGTGTTTGTCTCACCCAGCCTTCTCCTGGAATGAGGATGCCACTCTATGTCAAATCACAGGGCCCAGGCATTGATCCAAGCCTTTATGGAGCTCAGTAATATGAAAATGAGAGGAGGGATGAGAATTTAATTTTTAGCTTGTAGCAGACATCTCTGCCCAGTACTGGCAAGCTATAAGTGGCATAAGCTTCTTGCCCCTCCATAATTCTGCTATATTACATTAAAAGTAACAGGGCCTTGCTAAATTCACTTCTAGCTGAGGTCAACCTAACTCCAACTCAATTCTCCCCCTCTGAATTAACCATTTGTTCTCCTTAGTAAAGCTCTGCTAATGCTCCTGCCTGTGATACTTGTTATCAGCAGGTGTCCTGAGGCCTGCCCAGTTCCCTCCTTCTCACACTTCTTATGAATAAGCACAGGATGTAGTCCTTGGTGACTTTTGTCTTTGCTGCCCAGGGCCACTTAGATTAGCCCAAGACCCAGCTTCTCCTCTCAAGGGTCTGTGTCTGTGTCTTTGTTCTCTCTCTCTTTCTCTTCCTTGGTTAGCATGGTATAGTCTCACAGGAGATCGTTTCCCACTGCAGGGGTCATCAATAACCTTCCCTATATTAGCTAACACATCTCCCAAGCCACAGGCAATTACCAGCTCCCTTAGACACAAGACATATTAAGTACCTTTTTGATAATGCTTGTGAGTTTTAAAGCCCACGAAAACATCAAAACACTGAAAACTGTGAATCGATACATTTGAAGCATGGAAAGATGGTGCATTTGGATGACAAATTCTAAGAGTCCCCAAGACAATTCTGCTTTGTGTGCATCTTGATATTCACCAAGAGGTCTTTTTTCTTCTCCTTTGGTTTTCCTAGACAGAGTACGAGCCAAACGCCAGTAAGATTCAGCACAACTCACCTTTTCATATGCATCACAGTTGTGCATGTATGTGTGGACACCTACTCTTTATCTCTTCAACTTTCAGCATTGCCATCCTTACAGGTGGGATTTTTTGAGCACTGCTTTCACACTAACCTGAAATGAGTTTGCTGCAATCATCACCTTGTGTAGTGGCCAGGCCAGGCTGCAAAGCCAGGGGCTACCCAAACGCACAGAAAACCTGTCCCGTCTGCTTATGGAGCCTGCTCAGTATACACTTCTAAGAGGGCAGTCAGGAGGAAGCAAGCAATATTCATTAATATTGCATCAAAATTAAAAGAAGTTTCTGTTTTCCATTGGTTACATCTGTTATTTCAACATCTGGAGCATCCGTTCAAGCCACAGTTATTAAATTACACACATTTATCACAAATTATTAAAATTAGGAGATCAAAAACATCACCAACTTTTCTCACTTTGAGACTCATGAGGGAAATCAAGATTGTGCAAGGAGGAGTCTCTTGTCTAAGCACATCAGGTACAGCACTGGAACCTACTTTTCATTTCAGGGCCTTTCCCAGTTGTCTGGCCGAGTCTCAGTTGTTGATAGACTTCGCTTACCAGAGCTCCATTCAACTCACCAGCAAACAGCATGTATCCTACACGTCCAGTGGCCAGGAGAGGGTGCTAGAAGTCAGCGTAAGTAACAAAGTGGAATCAAAATACTGTGCATTTTAAGCAGGAAGCCAGAGTTGAAAACAACAAGAAATATAAAAACATCACATTTTGTGCTGAAATGTAGCACCCTGAGTGTTAATCCATAAATTATCAGGGGAGACTTAAAGGAATCCCTAAGACAGAAAGGAAAAAGCAGTTTCTTCAGGGCACAAACTTTAGAGACTGGCTGGCTTGCTCAGATTCCTAGAGTGCTTTGCTAGCTAGGTGACTTCAATAAGTTGTTTAACCTAAGCCTCAGGTTCAGCAAGTAACTCTTACCTTTTGCTTGCGAGAAAGGAATAAATGTGTTCAGTGCCTGACACTCAGAGGGTATGTTACCAGTTAATGGATCAAGATCACTCTTTTCCAAAAGACCATCAGCTGTTAACTAAAACTGCCAGGAGACATTTCTACTACCTGTTGAGGCACACTGTAATTCACTGACGGCCTTGAACATCCTATGCTGTCTGCTAAATGGCATATGAGACTTATTTTTGAGTTTCTGAAATTGTCTTCCTAGTCTCTGACATTTTATCATTTTAGAACGAATTCTCTGTATCTTAAATTATGTGTATATTAAATGATTTATATATTAAGCAATTGGGGTTTTGGAATGTGTTATACTTCAGTTTAAATTCAGGACTCACTGCCTATTCCTTAAGTGACCTTGAGCAGGTTAATCTTTTTATGATTCCAATTTTCTCACCTGCCAAAGTGGTCAATTATGTCTTTTTGATTTATTATCATAAGGATGAAATGGGTACAATAATTAAGTTGTATTAAAGACTAACATATTTAAAAGCCACATGTTGGCAAAATCTCTGGCATCTCAGAGATGGTATATCCAGAGTAGCGGTTATTTTTCCCATTTACCCTGACTTTCCCAAGGACACACACCTCTAAGCCCATTCGGACTCCAGCTGTTGATCTGCTTTTCCAAAGTGACACATCCTCGCAGGATCACCAGTTCTGAAGTCAAGTCTTCCCCAGAAGTCCCTTTGGGACAGCTCCATCCTGAGCAGTAGCCTGTCCCCTTGACCACTCTTTATGGGGTGGTGTCACCTGCTGGTCATTCCCAGATCAGCCCTGCCCGGGCTGTTCACAGGGAAGGAACTCTGCCGCATGGAGCCAGGGCAGTGGACAGAGGTTGGTTGGAACTGGCAGCTTCCTGTCGTCCTTATGGTACAGGGCCACAGGACCTGTGGGAACAGCAAGCAGGGAGTGAAGCTTGGGCTGAGTTTTGCAGTTCACGCTCAGCTTCCTGCTGCTTCCTGGGCACCTGCAGCCTCCACGAGCCACAGGAGCACAAGAGCATACTGTAGTCCCATCATCCACCTTCACTGGCTTCATCTCTTCTCAGGGGTCAGTTCTTGCTTCCTTCCGTTAGGATCAGTAATGACTTTCATGAGTCACTAGTTGCCATCTATGTCTCAGCCCATAGTGCTGGAATGAAAATTCTGTTTATGATCTTCCAGAAAAGGAATGTGCAGTACCTAACCCAGCTTCAGTGACGCCTGTGTAAAAACCTGCCAAATTACACACAAGATAATTTTCTCCATGAATGTATATCAAAAGCCTACAATGTTTCCTGTCCCCACTGAGTGTGAATTTCTCTCTCTCTCTCCTCCTTTCCCTCCCCTGCTTCCCTCTCCCCCTCTCCCTTTTCTCTTCTTTCTTTTGACAGTACTGGAAATCAAATCCAGGGCCTTCTCTCTGCGCTACATTCCCAATCTTTTTTTATTTTTTGACAGGGCTCAGTAAGTAGCTAAGAAAACTAGGCAGGGAGAGGTGGAACTTGGAATTCTCCTGCCTCAGCCTCTCAAAGTGCTGGGAGTATTCTCATTATGAGGTGTGCTCCTCCATAGAGCTCCCTACAAGCACTAGTGACCTGTCCTGCAAAATGAGGTGGGGCCGGGACGTAGCTCGGTGGTACCAATGACTGCCTATCTGGCAAGTGTAAGGTCCTGAGTTCAATCCCCAGTACAAAAAAAAAAAATAATAATAATAGTAATTAGTGAATAAAATAAAATCAGGCTTTGGGCCAAGGATTTAGCTCTATGGATGGAACACTCATTTATAGGTCATGAATTCATAGTGAGCCATAGTAATTATAACACTTCATGATAAATACACTAATTTCCATACCATTGCTAGGTAACTCCCTACAGCCAGCTGAAGTAGAAATACAAACTTTCTTCAGGTAGTGACCTACCTGTTTGGACTTAAGGGCTGCCACTTGGACTTATGACCTGCCATCTGCTGGGTTTCCTGGGAGAGGGGATGGCTGGGCAAAGTGGCGTGGGCTGGAATGAATCAGTTCTCCTCATGTTGCTTCATGTGCAGCCTGCTAGCCGGACTTGCTTTCGTGGCACTGATGGGAATACAGCAGCTGAAGCATGTTAGGCCCTTTGAGTCCCAGATCCCAAATTGAGGAGTCTAGATAATAAGAGGCAGGAAGCTAACTGGGGAAGGAAACCAGAGGGTGAAGGATTACTCAACCAGTAGCTTCTTCTTTATTTTTCCTTGGGTATCCTCAGGCCTATGCCCAAAAAAAACCAGACATGGACTATGAACCAGGAGGACAGAGAGCAAGGGTCAGTGCACCCTGGTTTTCTGTTTGGGATTGAACAGAGCAACAGTTTTCCGCCTGCAGCTTGTCTAGAGCTGCTCCACTTGGTATAGAGCAGCAGTTTGCCCAGAGGTTTTCCACTGTGGGTACAAATGCTACAGCAGAGTGACCGCACACCTTGTTTGTGTTTGTAAACAACCACCGTCCATCCAGCACAAGCATATGCTCAGACTGACGAACGATTTATCCATGCCAGTAAAAAAAATCACCTGTGAACTTCTTCAATCAAATCACAGACATATGGACTTACTGGGCCACATCAGAGATGCCGGGCATGTGTTTCCTAAACATACCAGAGCAGAAAATGAGGGAACCACCTTAACCCAAGGCGTACAGAAGGAAAGACATCTATTAACTGCACAGCACACCAAGTGACACCATGTTGTGGGCCACCCACTGTATGCATCACAAAATCATTATGCAAAAAATTTTGACTCTTTGCCCTGCCATCAGCTCAGTGAGGTGCCCGCGTAGACACTGCCCACTGCAAAGCTGCCTGGCCCTTTTCTTGACAGTGTGGTTGACAGCTCCAACATCTGGCTCCTTAACCAAATACCTGAGCCCTCCAGTGACTTGTGTTTGTATTAACTCTTCCCTTCTGCTCCTCTTTGCATTGCTTTTTAAAATTCTAAAGCTTCATTACCCTTTTCTTTCTGTATGAAACACTATGGGTTGCAGTGTGATGTGTGGTTAGGTGCCCAGATAGTTAAGTGTTAGATGTTAGAGATTAAGATCAGAACGGAACAAAGAATCACAGCTCTTTTTGCCACTATCATGACACCAACAAAATCCAGAGTGCTCTCGGAAGTAAAGTCAGTGAAATGACTGAGGTAATCTTTAGAATATATTGAAATTCAGTATCTTCTGACATTGTGGAAAGAAGCAAGTTGTTAGCCTATCTTAACAGCATAGCTCGTTCAAAAGTTTAAGCTATTTTTGTCCTTAGCCATTTTCTCCCAGACCCGGTGTCATCCCGGGGGCCATGGGCCGTGGTAGTAGCAGTGGCTGGAATGAAGCCTACACTCTGAAGGAAGTGATCTTTCCTGACGAGAGAGAGAGAGAGAGAGAGAGAGAGAGAGAGAGAGAGAGAGAGAGAGAGAGAGTGGAGGAAGAGAGAGAGAGTTGATGGCTTTTGTTGGCTTTTGTTCTCTTTGTCTTCTTACTTTGGGGTCCTGGAGGCAGCCACCACTGTGGGAAAGGCAATATGTACTGATAAAAGATTTCAGGGAGGACTCTACAGATGGGAAAGTGTACAGATGGCAAAGAGGAAGAAGAATAAGAAGGAGTCTTGGCCTCCCGACTTCACCCCTGCTGTGCAGCCTTGGTCTGACCATGAATAGCCCGGCAAAGGCTTGGCCTTCGGAAGGACCAGACCAGGTCCAGGTTCAGGAGTGGCCATGAGGGGGCACCCACAGAACACAGATCTGAGCAGGGAGTGCTGGGAGGGCTCAGAAAGGGAACTGATGGAATTGCCCACCAGAAGGAGATGGGACTTTGCAACCCTTCCTGGGACGGTTCCCTGCCAACCAAAGTACTCAGTGTTCTGCATACCATTTAAACTGTCCCTCCTGCCTCATAAAATAGTTTTCAAAATGTGCAGGATGCAATCCAAAATCACTCAGCACAAGGAGAACTGTGAAACTCTGCATCTCACAAGGGGAAAGGCAATGCAGAGATGCTGGTGCTGAAGGGAACATGGCTGTGTGAATAACAAAGATGAAATACGGCATAAGACAATAAGACACAGGGAAATAGATCTTTTGAAAATGGGAAAGGGATCTGGAAATGGAGGGGATAAAAAGAATTACAATATGTTAAGTACATGTATCTTCTCCCTGAGATGATCATAAACATTATGTACTGCAAACATAGACTCATAAAAATAAATATATATAAAAAGTGCAAACCAGCCATTATGACCCATAACTATGGAAAGAAAGGAAATTTGTTTGATCATATATATGTCCACAAGTCAACCCAAATCAATCATAAATACTAACTTCATTTTCAGGGGATAGGGTTGCAAGATAAGACACTAGATGTCCAGGTAAATATGAATTTCAGACAGAGAACTAATAATAATTTTAGTTCGAGGATATCTAAAAAAGTACATGGAATGGAACCTGTATTTATTCATGTTTTAAGTAGACCTTCTACCAGATACAAAGGAGTTTTTTTATACTGCTGGAGGAGAAACATTTTTTTTAAACAAATTGATTTGTGCATACACAACACACACATACATACACACGCACACCCATTCACCTTTGAGGAGTGTCAAGTGTAGTCCAAGCATGGGTCCTAGTTTCTTTCAATAATCTGGGTTCAGGGATTATCAAACTTGTTGCTAGTGGCTACCCAGAGTCCACTCACGGATAGGAAAGTGGTTCAGGGCAATAACGGTAAACTTTGATTTCAGCACAAGAACATAGGGGTAGCATTACTATGGAGAAACTGCCCTGCAGGGAAGTCAGTCTTCCCACAAGGGACAGGCCTGTGTCACCAAGCTTCGGCCTCCCCCACTTTCACCCTCAGCCAACCTCAGTACAGAGCTCTAGAGGCCCAGGCTTCTCTTCCTCTGGAGAGGGTCTGCTTCCGGTGGCCACAGGGGGTCCCTGTAGGAACACTCAGAGGCAGAGAGGCAGGGGCTCTTCCCAGGCACCGCCCCTTTTGGTCACTAACTGGGCTGTCTTCTCAGATCCATCCTCAGTTACTCCTGCCTGTCACTTAGTCAGGAAGACCACAACCAACTCACCGTTCTTCGTGTTGAGAGGGCTTTGAGTTTGGAGAGGACTCTCTGCTTCTCTTCTCATCTGGTCCCTCTCCTTCCAAGGCAGAGGAGAGGTAGCCATGCTGTGGGCTGTGGTCCTGCTTTTAGCTCTCCTGCCTCCTGGTAAGGGTGTGGCATAGCTGCTCATGGTCCCCCACGCTGGGAGGCCATACTAAAGAATTCCACTTACTTCTTTCTTATCATTGTTTCGTTGCTGTGTCCTCCGTAGGCAGTCAAATGTCTTCTGGATTGGAAGGAGGAATGATGTCAATTGCCAGGAAACATGGGTCCTATGTAGTTATCACTTGTGATGTTCTTGAGGAAAACAACTACATCCACTGGTACCTATTCAAGGCCGGGCAGCCCCCCCACCATCTTCTCTACTATGACTTCTTTGCTTCCAAGGCAGTGGTGGATTTTGGACTCAACCCAGCCAAATACCATGCTTACGAGGTCACAAAAAACAGCTATAAATTTGTACTACGAAAAGTGGAAGAAAGCGATTCTGGTGTGTATTACTGCGCAGTCTGGGCAGGCACAGTGATTCACACCTGCCTCTATCTACGCTGAAAAGTTTGCTTGTGGCTGCTTCTAGGATACACTGTAAAGGAGCCCCCCCCTTACTTCCGGACCCCAGTCTCCCTGTACTCTGAAAAAAGAGAAACCTTGAGTGCACCCCCCAACTCCACCCTTATATCCATGTCACACCACTCACCACAGCTGTACCCCGACCCCACCCACCTCTACAGGACTCCCCTGAAGGCCCCACTACCCTCTTCAGAACTTGGCCAAGCCATCTGGCTAGCAGCAAGCACTGAGAGGAACACTCAAGCTACTGTCTAGGACACACGAGGTTAATGAGGGTTGATCAGCTACAGGAGATATTTAGGAGAATATCATGGGAAGGCTAGTTGTATTGAACCGTTTATCCAGTCATGACCTAGAGATAATGGCAGGGGATGATGTTTGTTCATTGCTTGGGAATCTGAGAAACAATGGAACAAAAGCTTTGTGCTTCATAAAGACCTTGTGCTGGTAGTCATATTTATTATCTTTGGAGCAAACTCATATTCCCCTCACCATGACCACCCCACAACAATCTTTGTATAAATGAGAACATAGTGAAAAGGGGTTTGTTGTAGATTTATTGACCATTAGAACTAATCAAGCTTCTCTGATTTAACTGGCCTTCCTGAACTGATTCATGAACCAGGCGGTAGCCAGTCTATGAAACAGATGGAAGTGTTGGATGGGACAGAACTGTTGGTGTATGCACAGCAGCCTCTGTGTTGGCAAGAGTGTGGCACAGTGCACAGAGCAGATTGGTCACACTGGGCTGCTTTCTGTGTAAGAGTCAAAACGGAGGGACTTCCTTGTCACACTACCTTAGGTGGACTGGACCCTGGTGACCAGTGGATGCCAATCTTGTTTTTTCTTTTACCTTTTTTTTTCTTCAAAATGGAATTGTTGATCTACCAGCAATTTTATTGAACACACCTATTGAAATTCAGCCCCAGTCAGACTCATTTTAAGCAAATAAAGTTAAAGCTTCCCCCATCCCCCACACTGACTTCAGAGTGTCTTCTTACTATTTCTCAAATTACTAAAACTAAAGAAATCTTTGCACAATCAATCTTCTAAGGAATGAGTCTTCTAATCATTTTAACTTGAAAGGTCATACAGGAAAGGGATCATCACTGCCTTATCAAGCTATGTTTAAGGATAGAATGTTAATCCAGAGAAGAGAAAGGCAAATCAGGGAGATATCCAGTTGTTTCAAAAGCTGGTCATGATTAGCAAGAGAAATAGCTTTGCAGGTACTTTAAATTTCAGGTTTTGATTTTTCATTTGAAAATGAATGAAGAAACTGTGACTGATTCTGGGAGGTATGTGTAAGTTGTGTCCAGCACTCTCATCCAGTTCTGTCATTGTTTCTAATTTTATTTATTGATTCTTTAGATTTAGTGAAGTTTTATAACTTTCCCTAAAAAGTTCCTACATATATTTTTGCTAACTTAACTCCTAGAGATTTTATGCTTTTTGTTGTTATTGTGTACACGGACATGTTATGAAATACTTCTCAGTTTTCATTGCTAGGGTAGAAATTCTACAGACTTTTGGCATTGCCATTCTCTTGTATAAGTTTGGTGTATTTTGTCACACTAATTCACATGGAAGCTTGGGAATTTTTAATAGTATCATCAGCAAATAGTGACCTTTTGCCTCACTTAGGTTCTGATTCCTTCGCACATTATTACATTGTCCAGGCTGTTCGGACTCTCCAGACTGTGAATATCAGCCATAATCATGGCCACTCCTTTCTTATTCCTAAATGGAGTAGAACTGCTTTTACTAGGTCATCACGCTTGGTGGAAGCCTTTGGAAGATGTTTTTTTCTTCTTCTTAAATTTACCTTTTCAGTTTTATTTTGGACTTGTTAGAATGTTTACTGATGATGAGTCAGTGTTGAGTGGTATCGTGTGCTTTTTCTGCTTTTTTAAAAAATGGCAGTTTGCCTTGTTCTTTTGTGTGTGTAGATTACGTGGTGTCAGGCAATCTTTACATCTCTAAGGTCACCCTTTCCAGTTCATATTATGATGAGCAAAGTCGGCTAACATTTAAAAAGCTTTGCTAGTATGGTTAAGTGAGATGTATCACAATGCCCCTTCCTTTGCGTCTTCGCTTGCCTTTAGAATTAAAACTTGTCACAGTGATTTCTTTGCTTTCTGTTTTCCAGAACCATGTGTTGAAGTCTGCGCTTAATTTATAAACTTGAAAACTAACATTTACCTTGAAGATGTGTTTAAATGCTTCTATTAGTTTAACTACCCTGGTCACACCTGTGGCCTCCTCTCTTGTACACATCCTTTCCTGGACACTCATTTCCTTCCTTTCCTGGCCACGCTCACCACCTTCTCCTCCTGGTCACTTGCCTGACTACTTAAAAGTCCTGGTGCAATTAGTAAAATGAAGATGAACCTTTCTCTTTTTTTTTTTGTTTTTTGCTTTTTGAGACAGGGTCTCACTATGTAGTTGAGAATGACCTGGAATTCACTATGTAGCCCAGGCTGGTCTCGAACTCACAGCGATCCTCCTGCATCAGCCTCCTGAGTGCTGGGATTACAGAGATCTCTTTTTTTTTTTGTTTTTTGCTTTTTGAGACAGGGTCTCACTATGTAGTTGAGAATGACCTGGAATTCACTATGTAGCCCAGGCTGGTCTCGAACTCACAGCGATCCTCCTGCTTCAGCCTCCTGAGTGCTGGGATTACAGGCATGCGCCACCATGCCTGGCTAAAATGACCCTTTATTTCTACCAGAGTCAGGGCTATGTCAGTTTATCTGAACATCCCTGAAGTTGTGTGCATTTCTGAGGTTCTGGTACAGACAATGAGTGACTTGGTCCTGGTTCTAGGTTCTCCTAATCACAAAAAATAATCCCACTTCTCTCTGCACCTGGGACTATATTATATGCTTTGTTCACAGGATCCATCTATTGCTTTTGCAATCTTCCAAGGTCCCCTTTTACAAAGGAGGAAAAGGAAGTAAAATAACTCTCCTAAGACTGCACAGCTCTCCTGCTACTTCGGGCTACCAGGCATTGCCAACAGAACCTATGTAGGGCTTGCTCCAAGGCCACTTAGTCTGGCGCACACAGGTTTGGCAGGGATTGCTTTTCTGCACTTGTCCTTTCCCCAAAGGAAGTAGCGCTCTCTTGGCTTCATTAAGCTAAAGAGGCTAGATGTAGCAGAAGACAGGTCTGCAGCTAGATCTGACTTCATGTCCCTGAGCTGTTCAGCCATAAACAATCTCCTTAGAATAACAGCCTCGTTCCCCACAGTTCTAAACTGAAGATAGTAGCATTTATCCCACTGAGCGATTTTCAGGATTTAATGATATGATGACCATAAACCAATTAAGGTAGTGCTAAAGTACAAAAGGTTTTCAAGCAGCGACTGCAATTATTATTGTTATTATTTTGGCAAAATTTTAAGCATCTCTCAGATCTCTCTATTTGCTGTACTCCCTTCCCCATGGCATGGTCAGATCTCCATCCTTCCTCCCTTAGGGGGCTTCTCCCTCCCCGACTTCTCTCCCCCCGTAGCCTCCCTGCACCAAAGAAGCAGCTGCTTGGACCCTGACCTGTCATTTCCTCCCCACCAAACTGTGACCCATGCCAGCAGTGTGACCTGGGAGTCCCCTATGTCCGGGCCCTTGGTCAGGTCACACTCAGCCGTGCTGAGCCCCCTCACCGCAGGGTCTGCTGTGGGCCCTCCAGCCTCCAGATGAGTCTGACTCCTCAGTGGCCTATCCCTGCAGCTGTCCTTTCATTTCTTAGGCTAGTGCAGCTGCCCGGGTCCTTGGGTGCACAGGAAGCTTAGCCAGTTACCGATGGTGGGTCCAGGGGAATTCTTCTCAGGTTCTTGATGTTCTGAACGAAGAGTGAGACAGACACACAGAAAAGGTAGCAGGGTGTACATTTACCGAAGGGGGAGAAAGAGATACAATCTGCAGAGTGAGAGCAAATGGTGAACAGGCCAGGAGGATAAGGAAGGGCGCCATTTGTTTTTAGAGTTCCTGGATTATCTTCTCTCTCATGCAATTAAAGTATGGAGACAGTTGGGTTGTCCTATCAAAAACCCATTTGGCCCAGTACCAGATTTAATCCACCGTATTGAAGACTCACTTAGCTTTGCACCAGATGTAAATGAAAAATTGAACATAGCAACGATTGGTTCCACATGCAGTGCTCAGAAGCTGCAGAGTCATCCTGGATCTTGTGTTCTGTGCACGTGCCCTGAATCACCATGACTTTGCCAGATTCTGCCTACTTGACTGGTTTTGCTCCAGCCCTAATCTTCCCACCTCAAAAAGTACAGTTTGAGGTCCTCAGCAGGGTCAGATATGTCCACCAGTACTGGCATTGAGAGATCAGGCTGCTCTGCTTCCTGACTGAGCTCACCTGTAGGGTAGCAATGGAAACACTGCAACATTTTTATTTCTATCAAAGGGTCCCAACTTTCTTCCCTCTTGTTGTCACTTGCATTAGGACCATCCTGCTTTCTGACATCCCCTGAGAGACTCAGAGTGGCAAGAGCAATTTGGTGTATTTGGTGCTGACCTGAGTATGAGCACAGAAGGCTTTGGGACACAGGGTGACAGAAACATCTTTGTCTCGGAGGGTGGGCTGTGAGTCAGGCATTGTGCTAAACACTCCACTCAAGAGACTTATTCATGATTCAGA